CACATGCCATCCTATTGCTGCTCCTACACTACAGGGTAAGGTACTTCTTCCTTTCACTTCAAACTACTGCCGTGATGACAAAATGTCATCCTACACATTAAATAGAAAAGACCAAAGTAATGGTTACCTCAGTAAAGCTCTCAACAGATAATTATATTTAAGCCAATTTTTAATCATAAAGAAAGTAACTTTTTATTTGGGAACAAAACTGCATACAGTCTTTAGTAAATATTTTTACATCTCTAGTGTCAAAGCTGAGAAACGTCAACCACTGATAGAAAGGCTTAAGCATGCGAGAGTCCACTCTGTAATAAGTGTAAAAGACAGGAAGGAAAAAACAATCTCTTTCAGAAACAAAATTTGTAGGCTCTGACTGCTAACAGGATGCTTGTACTAATTCAAGACTCACTAGGAAGACAACTTCTTTAGTGTTCCCTAAACTATTTAATGCAGTTTTAAAAAAATTATAAAGAGTTTTTTTGTACAAGATGGAAATAAAATGATTTCACTCTGAAGCTTTCCTATCCGTATAAACATAAATTGATCTGTTTGTTATATAGGTAATGGAAACTATGAGGAAGCAAGCTAAGTGTTATTTTCAATCAATTTAAGCTTAAGCATCAGAATTCCTGTACAGATGTGAGCTGAAAGGATCAAACAATTTCAACAGAAGTACAGTAGCAAACAACTTACTAAAAGATGAAAATAAAGATGGGGAAGAGACAACTTCAGCATACCTGTTTGCAAGCTACATAGCTTTAAAACTCAATTCTTAGGAGCATTTCTAATTTAAGCAACAGTATCAGCACTTAGATTAGACTTCAGTTTGTTCAAGAAAATTAATTTCCATATGGATTTTTTCAGTTTTAAAGTTAATGGGCTACTAGTTCAGCAAGAAAAACAGATTTTAATCACCTGATGATCTGGTCTACCAACTCTTAATGCCTATGGGATTCCAGATCAGGGGGTCCTAATGCAAATGCCTATATGAAGCAACAGTGCTCAGGAGCTATATTTTAAGCATATATTGTTTTGGAAACCAAAAAGTCTGTAGATTTTCTCCACTTTTTTCCTCTTATCTCTTCCTTCCCTGACTTCCATCTTTATTCTAAGTAGCTGATGCAACTGCATATGTGAAAAAATAATCAAAAGTACAGAATTATAATCCATTTTAATTGGTTTAGCTCATCCCATGATTTTTCCCTTGAAGGTGCCTTCTTCCATGCAAGGAGCATGGTTTGGTAGTGTTATCATCGGGGGCCAGTCCTGTATTCTCTGACAGGCAGTTGTTACCTATGTTCAAATTTTTAAATTAAATTAATCAATCCGTACTGAAAACATTAATCCATCGAGAGACATGGACAAACTGACAACGTACTATCTCCTATGTAAGTTTTAATCATATTTTCCTCCCTATGAAGACAGGAATTATTGTCACATGATAACCATTTCATTTACCATGACTATGAATAAAAATCAGATCTTGAAAGACTAATTTTCACATCTAATTAGAAACAATTTAAAAGGACTTGTTTATCAAACAAAGCAGTTTAAAAGTGTGTTTTGTATGGCAGTTCTATTTTTGCCTGACAGAAGAATAAGAAGTGTAGGAATCCCATCATTAAGAGGGAAGAGGTGAAATGGTATGGTTGAAATAAACACTTATGGAAAAAAATCTCCTTTAAATCAACAGTTCAAGAGTGCTGTTTAAAATTAAGAAACTATAAGGACATTAATTACAAAATGTTGTATTGCTCAGTTCAAAACCTTAAAGAAAGCCTAATTTTGAAGAAGCCTCTTCATAGTTCTCTCACTTTCTTTGTGCATAACTTCCATGATAGTGTTGTCAAACGTAACTATTACTTTGAATGTTAAATCAGTAGTTACATGACTCATTTAACCATTACATGTGGTAAATTGGAAAAGTAATGCTTTTCCAAACTTGAGACTCTCCGTATCAACAAGACACTTGTTGCCATAATATTTGTCATTTGTAGCTGGAGCAGCTTGATTAGGGTCTTCTAAAGCTGCCTGCTCTAAAAGTGTGTCCTCCAGTGATACAGCAGGAACTCAGAAAATTCACCTTTTATTTGCTTGCTCTACTTTTAAATTAATATACATTTTAAGATCTAACAGCTAAAATATTTCTAGAAAGCAGCAACTTACAGCACAAAACTCCTAAACATAATATCAGAAGTAGTAGCTTACCTTATTTTCTTCCAAAAATTTCAATTTGATAGATACATCATTACGCATTTTGTCATATTTCTCCTTATGCACTTGAAACAGTTGTTGTGATTGTTCAATCTTTGGCAGAGTGTTTGCATCACGAGGGCCAAGATTCAGCTCTTCCAGGTCTGTTCGATAAGCATCATATTCAATCCTGAGAAGAAAGAGGAGGAGGGGGAAAAAAAGAAATCTAAAGGCAGTGTCTCAAAACTGACCTCACGTACAGGGTCAAGTACAACAGAAGATGAACAAAAGAGTTAAGGGCAGAAAAAATAAAAAACCCAGGCAAGTTTTTTTCTTCCTCCTCCTATTCATCAAGGAAATCCACCCTGAAGTATACTGTATAAGATTGCCTCAACAACCACCCTCCCTCTTCTGCTCCTGTCTCAGCCACATGTTCTCAGCCCTATTTTGTATGGGTTTCAGTGGTAAGAGCCTTTCCTGGGACATCTCAATCAACTAACCCAGATAAAGACAGCAAATATTTTTCAGGTCATTCTTCTCTGTTGAATCAGTTCAGTGGAGAGTTTGTGTTGAGTGCAAAAGACACACCAAGAGCACAACATCCCCTTTAAGCAGATGTTTGAGGAACAGCTCACTTATAGCAAACTCTGACCTAAAGGATTTTCAGCATGCTCCAGGCTTCTCTATGTGTATTAATTTTATACTTCTTCCACAAACAGTTCTGTGAGGATTTGTCTGTCCTATGGAAAAACAGGCTGCAAAAAGATGGTGTAGCCCTGCCCAAAGCTTTGCTCTTCCTTCCATACTTCTTTGTAGCTTTCACATAATGGAACCCAGCATATCAGCCAATTTTAATGGGCCAAACCACCCTATTTTTGGCTTTTTAAATATGCTTTCTTGGAAACAAATCAGGATTAAAAACTGGTTATAAAACAATTTTTCAGTTGGTGTAACTGCTCCAAAATAAAATACAACATTTGCAGAGGCAAAAGGAGTAATATTCACAGGGCTTTTCCTGATTCTCATTGCCAGTCTGATTCAGGCTTTATTTAAAGAGTTTATGGCTGAATTCCAAAAAAGGAAACAAACCAATAGCGAGGTGATAGAAGAGGGGAACAGATGAATGCTAAAGTGCAACTGGGGACAGGACAGAAGAAGTGTAGAAATAAATGTGACCTGTTTTCACACAGCAAAATGAACCAGGTAAGTGAAGAATCTTTGTCATTTATTTGCCTTATTAAAATGACAAAATACTTGATTAATGAACAGAAAGTAGTGAAGGTATTTTAGAAGTTAAGAACTATATATTGAAAATGACAGACCAAAACAATTGTAGCAGATATATTTTGAATAAATTTTCAAGGGGATACCTGGAAAATGTGTGAAATAATTTTTTAAATATGTTGGTGTCAAAAATAAAGCAATATCTTATATACACATAATAATTCTGCCTTTCATGTCTTTTGAAAGTTTATATAATTATCAAAACAATAACTTAAAATTCTGCTTATAAATAAGCATTAGAACAGAACAAATAGAAAAGGGGGAAAAGAACTTCAAAAATCAAACAATTTGCAAGTTCTGACCTAAAAAAAACCACAAAATCACAAAAAATTATATGCATAAACTCCATCCTTTGTCGAATCAAAAGAAACACACTTTATCCTATTAAGTGAAAGAAAATCAGAGTGGGACAACTCGTCAGAAAGGACCACAAGTCCCTGGTAGGAAAAAGGAACCTGGCTTTAGAGTATTATGCCACATCCAAAAGTAACCTTCTCCAGGGCAGGAAACCCATTATCTACTGCTAGATGTTATTCACTAAGAAATTTCTGTTTCATTATTCCCTTCCTGACAAAGCCTGAAACTTCTGCATAAAAAGTGAAGTGTTAATTGTATGCATTGCGCATCAACAGAAGCACAAGATTAAACGTTCAGTCAAAGAGATTATTTTACCTATTGCAATGTAGCTGGATAAAAGGGTTAATCTTGCACTGTCACGCTACTTAAAAAGCCACCTTAATCTAGCACGTGGGAAAAAATAGCTATAATTACTCCTACAGCTAACAGGTAAAATTAAGTCTACAACAGGACATTCACAAAACATTTGAAGATACGTGCAATCAGTTCCAGTTAACCATAAATCCTAATTATATGAGAGTTGCATTACAAGGCTTTTATCTGACAGGTTAGTTACTCCAATACAAGGACTAAGCTGATACAAAGCCTGCTTTCTGAAGATTAATTGGTACTGAAAAGAGCTAGACACAGGAGATAGCTACCTGGCACTTTCATACTGTTTCACAGTCAATAATGTATCCTCAATTGTTTTATTCACCAGTGTATTCACACTGGCAATAAAAAAGTTAATAGCCCCGAGAAGTGTTTCTCCATTTTTAGCTAGAAGTTTCTGCGTATCTGCATTGTAGCCAAACTCCTCCTATAAACAAAGAGCAGAGAAAACAAAGCTGTAGATCAATTGAAATCATAACATTCATCAGCAACTATATAAAAAAATGCAAACACAGATGTGGCAGTTCTTCCACTTCTGTTTGGATATGATTATGATTAAACCAATATGATTACAATACAACATTCAGTTCACAGTTTTTATGAAATTGCTCTAACATCAGTAAAACATGGCTTACAATTTTGTGACTATGTGTGATGTTAAATCCTATTCTATAATGTGACTTGTCTGCACTCTAAAGTCTTGAATGTTACTTAAAAGTAAGTGTTAATGCAATCTTCACATTGTCATTCAGCAGGGTTTTAATCTGGCATCTCATGTGGTTGTCTAGGTAATGCTTTAATACGAACAGAGACACCCCTACATTAAATACAGTAATGTAACTAACTTCACAAGGGCACACAGCATTAATTAGCTATTAAGTTTTATCCTTACATTCTGGAAAAGAGCACTGCAAAAAACCTCAACATCTATCACAGTTTAATAGGCTGTAAATAATTGAAGAGCAGAGCATTATAATGAATAGCAAATAAAAATTTTAACATAGCTCAGCCATAAATTTCAAAGGGACAAGGGCAAAATTATTTCCAAGCCATTTAAGTCACATCTAGATACATGTTTGTTCATGTCTCTTTGTTAAAAGCAGTGTAAGCTGACCAAGGCTGCAAAGATTTTCCTAATGCATGGATGCCAAATGAATCCAATTATTATATTTATGTCATCCATATGGCATCTTCATATTCTACAGATGGGAGTTCTCATAAAAGAGTACAATCTCTGGTTGTAATGACTGTAAAACACACTAGGTTCATATTTGGAACTTGGGTCTTTTTAGACTTCCACAGTGCCAACAAGTGACTCAGAAGTGCTGTATTCTCCCAGTTTCCTTTCATCTGTCTAGAAAATGAACACCAAAGCCAAATGATATTTCATGTTAACAAGTTCATGACAGTATGGGTAATGGGCAATGGTAAGGGAAGAATCCTCTAGAAAAGGAGGTGCAGTGGAAGTGAGCAACTGAAGAAGAAGAAAAATGAAGAGAACTTACGGCAAGTTTTTGTAAGATAAGCCCTGTAAACACCACTAAAGATCTATAACCTTTGCTTTGCACAGCTGCTTGGATAGCAAAAGCAGCCAGCTAAATAGCTACAGATTTTGCTGAAAAAACCCCAAACCAAAACCTCAAAACCAAAACAAACTCCCCAAAATATTTTCCAGCTGGTTTTGCTCTAGCATTGCCAGCTATGCAGCTAACACAAGCCCTAGCTCAGGGAAGAGAGGAGCATGCCAACAGAGGTAACAGCTGTGTGACTGCTCCTCTCAGCATCTTAGTCCCATCTCTTTTCCCTCCTGCAGCCAAGACTGCAATTAGTTTTCCAGCTCGTCCTCTCACTCAGATCATTGCAGACCCAAATGAGCAACACCACCAGTTCACAGGAGGGAGGTAAGAAGGATGGGACTGCAGTGGCCTGCAGTACTAAGGAACACAACCAACCAAACTGTCCTTCTAAAGGCTCATATGGTTTCATACAGACTTTTGAGTTTTGTCCATGACCTCTGCAGATACCTCTTATGAAACAGACAGCAAATCCTTTCTGTATTAAGAGTTTACACTCACTTCATAATCTATGCACAGGTCAATTAAATTGGAACTCATATGTCTATATAAGTAGAGGCACATGAGCCTGGAACCAGAAGTTATTTTTGTATCCAAAAGTGAAACAGCAACACATTCACATTAAATAATACCTCTGCAGATACCACATTAAAATCATATTTTGTTATCATGAATAAAATAAGAAATATTACCTTGAGAATTTTTTTTTATTTTATTTAAATTTATGTACTGTTATCACATTAAACATTAAAGACTAACTGTTTGGAAATTTTACTTTTAGCCTTGCACAAGTTTTAGAAGCAACAACGTTATCCAAATATCCAAGAAGTGTAGGCCAGGGTACAGACAGTAATATAGTACAGATTAAACAGGGGAAACACAAAGAGGAAAGAGACAAACATCAGGCAAGTCTCCAAGAGGCACAGGTTAGATAACTTTTATTACAGCAGCAGAAACCTTTATTTGATTTTCATCAACAGCGCCATTCAATAATCTACACAAGAGATGAATGACGGAAACAAATTCCAAGACCAGTACAAGATGCTGAAAGAACCTGGAAGATCAGTATTCCCATTAGAAGTTATAAGCTAATCATGGGAAAAAACCCAACATTCATTAAACAAGTTTGACGCCAGATTTCATCCAAGTTCTGGAAGAAACATCCAGCTTCAGCACGTATTTCATAACAATCAGTAAGTTTTGCCACAAACCACATGCCCGTATTTGTGTCAAGAGTAAACTGATTATTAAAAGCTTCTTTTAGCAGATAATTTAATTTCTTAGCTGCTAGAAGTGCTCTACATTCACAGATTTTCATCTGTCAGATTAATATTAAAAATTCCTGTATGCCAGTGTAGGAGTCTCAATGTTTTTCAGCTAGCTATCACTTAAGGTTCCTCTGTGCAAGCAAGAACTCCACCTCCTCCCTTAAAACTCAATGGTAAAAGACAATTAAGAAAATAAAGATGTTTTTGAAATCACAAAGATAATTTGAGCTGTTCCAGCAGCTATGTTTTAGGGAATCATAAGCCACTTAATACTGGTTTTCCAAAGGATCAAATTGCTTTAATTTTCCAAGTACAGAACAAGCAATATAAAAGCAGGCCAGCTACTCTACTTTGTAAGCAACATCTACCTTTTCTCTCTTTACAGCAGACAGTTTTATTATTGGCAACAGAAAGTGCCAGTGTTACATTAACTTCTAAACCATGGAATCATAACAGCCCAGATATCTAAAGATTGCCTCTCTTGCTCAGCAACTCCAGACAACATAAGAATACAGATTAGTCCTATTAGTAGGAAAATTCTGATTAAAAAAGGACTTTGAGATGAAATCAAAACGCCTAAATATGCTACAGAAAAATAATTTACTCACATTCAATGTGCACAAGTGAAGTAATGTGCCCTAATCTACTTACTCCCAGGCACATTCCCCAAAGACATCCTGTAATTGAAATTACATAATACTGTGGAACACTTTGATGACATTTCATTAGAAGCAAAATTAATAGTAAAATGCATCTTCTCTACAAAGCAAGGTTGTCAGTTCTTGAGTCCAACCATCAACTAGAGGCAAACGTTTAAGAAACAAAGAACTACAGTAATTTCAATAATTTCCTATAATTTTAAGTGAATTACATAGGCTTTTGACACACAGAGCACGTAATATATTATTAACTACAATGTTTATAAAAGTTGCTGCTAACTACTATATGCCCTGCACAAGTCATTTAGGCTTATCTTCATCTCTGCCACTGTATTGTTTTAACACTATAAAAGTCTTACATGAAGTTCCAATGATTTCAAACTCAGGTCAGCAAATGCATCTCCAAGTTGCCTTTGGGTATGTACCATCTGGAAGAGCTGCGTGGACAGCGTCTGTGCCAGTCTCAAGATATGTTCATATTTTTTTTTGTTATCTCTCAATATATCAATTTGAGCTTCTAGTTCCAGATCTACTGTTCTTGAGCCACGGCCCAGTTTTTCAGAGATGATCTGACGTGTACACTGCAGAGAAAATATTAAATTATAAAGAATCAAGTATATTCAAGACAACACAGCATACACCCATTTTCAGCTTCAAGGGACGTATAATTACACACAAATTCTTTCACAATCACCCCTCCCAATATAAGTTTGCACAACAAACTGAAAAAACAACACACTCTTTAGAAGTTTATCAGGACTCAGCAAGAACAGTTGGACAAGTCTCAACTCCTACTAAGATGAATATTCAAGTTAGCAAATCAAGAGCATAACTAATTGTTTCTCAAGTAAAAAAACACTTATCTCTTTATAGGTTTGGTGAATCTCATTAAGTTAAAAGAAGCATTTTAGCCTACTGCATTGAAGTCAGTTAATAGGAGTATTACTATTCTGCATAAAAATATCTAGTTAGTAATCTTTTGGGCTTTGTCTACCAATTATCCAATTCCAGAACATCCATGCTGTGCTTTCCAAAAATGTTATTTTTGAGTATTTTTTAGGGCGGAAGTCACAAGGGTGGTTTTCAGCACGTTTTTGAAAGCTGACTAGAAAACTGGGAGCTCCTACTAAGAAATACACTAAAGTATTAAAATGCTTTTTACAAGTCTATAAAACAGAGATGATTGTCTCAGAAAGACTTCCTTTTCCGTCATAAGTCAAATTCTTAGAAATTCGCAGTTCATTAACACAGTGAGCAGAAAATGTGCTCTTATAAGGCCATAGACACTTTCACCCTGTGTATGGCTGTGACAGATCAGGCTGCTACCACATTCCACTCATCTGTGACCTCTGCCAGAGACTGAAGCCCAGCTTGGCAGTGAGCCTCCCAAGATTCACACTGGGGTTTCCCTTGACTGAGACATAGAGAAGCCTTTTGCAAAGCAGATGTGTAGCAAAGCCATACAATTTCTCTATGAAAAGCAGGAATTATTTACTGCTATAGTAAGTTACTTGAAGTCAATCTGTGGTCCCGAGAGGTGAAGAGATAATCAATATAAACAAACTAAAAATTATGGCAGAAACAAAAACTACAAGGAAATAAACTTAGTAGTCAAGGCCCAACTACTCTGAAAGAACTTAAACTAAGTGCAAAGTTGCTATTTTTTTTTTGTGAAATAATGCCCAAGCCTACCTTATATTATACTCCCCAAATACACTACCAGCACTGGATTTCCCAGGTTTCCCAGTTCAAGGACTTTTGTTTATTCCAGTCTCATGTCCAGAGGAGACACATATTTAAACTGCTGGAACTTTTATGTCCTTTCTAAATGTAATAGATGAACACAGGAAAGACACAAGAATGATCAAGCAGAACAAGCTCGTCATGACTCATAAGCTTTAGGTCAGAAGGTACAGACTATTTGGGCTACTTAATTAGATTCAACTAATTCACAAGAAAAAGCACAGCTAATCTAGGTGATATTTGTCTATCAAGCATCAGAAATTTGGGAGAGCATAACAAATTGTAACATAGAATACACATTTACCACCAAAGTCTCCAACAGAAATTGCAAAATACAGCTTAGCAATACGTGTGCTCAAAGCATAAATAAACCTTTCACTAGGAACTATGGAAGTAATGGCCAAATTTTGGCTATTTTGCAAAAAAGCTGAGGCACACACTTGCACACCTCCATGGAAATGCAGGAGAAAAATCTGAATCATGGAAGGCAACATTTCTGGAAGAAAGAATAAATTACAAATGAAGACATTATTTTCAACCAAGGGGTATTTGCTTCAGAAGTTACAGTAAAACACCTAAAAATGGCCAGCAGTGACAAGTTAGGAAAAACCAGTAATTGGAAAGACCTACACTGCATACTTTGTTAAACTCAGATGTAGTGAAAGATAAAGAAGATGCCCCTATCTGTTTTGAATTACTCCAGCTCTAAGCAGACTAGTACGAACACACAAGTTGCTGTATAGTCTCATTAGCAAACAAAGAAAATTCCACACAGTAATTCCATTGTGCTTTGTTCTAAAAGTATGTATAAAGAAAACTGTTATTCGTAAGACCATGCTACTCAAAATGAAGTCACCCAATGCAAAGCTTAAGAAAAACAACTCAAAGAAAAAAACCTCCACCAAAATACATTTAAGAGAAACATATTTTAAATTGCTTATGTTGAAAATGAACAGAGACACTACTGGGCACGTCTCAGAAATAAAGGTTCCACTAACAGCCCACTACTAGAGAGGTTTGTAAAACAGGCTTGCTTTTTTTTCCCCCTCAAAGTTTAGGAAGTTGTATGAAAAAGAAAAAGATAAGTTTTTTGTTAGAATTGCTGAAAGTCAATAAGACTCATGACTTTCCTGTGCCTAAATCTTGTTGCTAAACTGAAAACCTCTTTCTCATCCAAAGGGGAAGGGTGGGACAGAAAAAAGAACAGAAAAAGATCTTGTCAGTAGACTAAGGAAAGAAGGGCAATTTCTTTTGACACTAACTCATGATTACTAGGGAGCATACAACTGGGAAGAGTGACAGGGGACAACAGTTGCAAAGGCATTCACAGATGGGAATGGCTTCTGAGCATATCCAATAATTTAGATTTCACAACTCCTGATACGGACATCATGGCATAGGAACTACTGATATAAAATTCCTAAAGAACTTCCTAACATCAAGTTTCACCACTAACTCCACTTGTAGATTAATGTCTGGTACATTGAATAGCAGGGATATTAATCTCAGTGCTGACTTCCTCCTAACCATTTACTCCTGCCCTTTATTTCTTCATCTTCTAACCTATGAACAATTAGTTATTATGAGATAAGGAGGAGACGTCTTCCCATGATCTTCCTGATGGAAAGTACTATGTCCACAAACTTAAATACTGTCCTTAACCATATTAAATATGCATTTTGTACACAGTCTACTTATGAAGTGCTTTCAAATGTATGGCATCTCCAGGTCCATTTCCGTAACACTCCCTCAACTCAAAATGAATTCATAAGGTCTCTGAACAATACCATTCCTCCAAAAAAGAGCGTACAAGAAGTCAATATGAGATTCTAGACAGACCACAACTGACATATCTCCTTGGGCATGTTTGGGAATAGATTTCAAGAAAACATTCATTTACTTTTCTGAAAGTGCTAGTCTTTGTTTGCTGTGCCATAAATGGTGGGATTCTGAAGTTCAGGGAGAGGGAGGCTTAAGCCATGAAAGAAATCTAAAAATCCAGACTTTGCAAAGACTACAGCCAAAGAAAAAATGCTCTGAACAAGGATCCAAGACCACTTTTCCCAGCATTTTTCACTACTCCTCTGGTTGTTGGTTCATGTCAGTGAGTTTAGAATCATTTTGCAGTTGAGAGAGACACTGGGAGATTTTTTGGGTTTTTTTTCTAAATCAAGGTACCAAAAAGAGAGAATAAGGTCAAGTCCTGTCCCATTTAGTTGTGGTATAAGAGCTTCGATCCCAAGAGTCAACATTCTTGAACAGACAAGAGAATTTTAAAGAAAGGTTTCTGCTGGATAGCACGTATTCCAATTGGACCACAGCACACTCCAGAGCAGCTGAATCACAGAATGGGTCAGGTTGGAAGGGACCAACCACAGTGGGTCATCTGGTCCAATCTCCCTGCTCAAGCATGGTCACTGTAGAGCACAGGGCACAGAACTGCATCCAGACGGCTCCTGAATATTCCCACCGAGGGAGACTCCACAACCTCTCTGGGCAACCTGTTCCAGTGCTCGGTCACCTGCACAGTAAAGAAGTTCTTCCCCATGTTCAGGTGGAACTTTCTGCGCATCAGTTACTGACCATTGCCTCTTGTCCTATTGCTTGGCACCACCAAGAAGAGCCTGGCTCCATCCTCTTGACACCCTCCCTTCAGATACTTATAGACACTGATGAGGTCCTCTCTCAGTTGTCTCTTCTTGAGGCTGAACAGATCCAGCTCCCTTTCCTTGTAAGAGAGATGCATCAATCCCTTAATCATCTTTGTTGCCCTCCATTGGAAACACTCCAGGAGCTCCGTATCTCTCTTGTACTGAGAAGCCCAGAACTGGACACAGCACTCCAGTGGGGCAGGATCAGCTCCCCTGACCTGTTGGCAGTGCTCTTCCTAATGTACCCCAGGATACCACTGGCCTGCAACTTCTGCAGTTGCTATGAAATTTAGATGACAAGAAAAGTAGAAAACCTAGAAGCCATTTAATTAGACATTAAAAAAAGGAAACTTCTGATTCTAACAGAAAGACAGCATAAACATTTATTAGTGGGTAGAATGTCTCCATCTCTGCTTCCCATTCTCACTGGGGAAAAAGTCCTTATCCGGACTTAAAAGATCACTGGAGGGATTCAGACTTTCTTTTCCACAGATTCTTCATTTCTTCATGGTTTGATACAGATCTGACTGATGCACAAACCACCTCTCCACAACTCTGTCATTTAAGTTGCAGGCATAACAAAAAGCTGTTTTTCAAAATTTGTCTTTGTTTAAAACTCTTGACAGGAATATATTCCCTGACAATTGCTCCTTATCTTATGCCTTTTTAATGAGAGTCACTTCTGGTAAACTGGTGTGCTTTAAGAACCTTTTCATTATTCTTATGTTATTATTTTAATTTCATCAAATCCCAAATGATCACAAAACAGCAGCATATAAAACGCACATGAATTTAAACAACAATTACAACACTAAGAAAAAACAAACAGCGAAAACAGAACATCAGAACAGCAATTAAGATATACAGAACTTGTAAATGGGCCTGACGTTTTCATCTCAGCTAAAATTTTATTGTATCAGCAATCAACTCAAAAATGGCAAAAAGATTTAATTGCAAGCTTTAGTGCCAAAATCTGTACATTCTGAATGATGAAGGGGACATTAGAAACAGAACATCCTTTATCTTGCTAAATCAAGATATGAAAGATTCTCCACTTAAAACTAGGGATTTAAAAAGGCTAACAAAGAATGCTACCCTTGGAAGAAAATTAAACCCTCCCTACATATTCTTGTTTATGCTCACTACAACAGATGACTTTGATACAGCTCTGATCCTACCTAGTAGCAAACTCATTTCTAGAATACATACATACACACACACACAAATACATGGCTTGCATACCTTGTAAGTGTTTAGGCTCCACTTTCTCACCAATTCCAGTTTCTCCATTGCTGGATTCTTTACTTCATCTGCTAACACAACAGGCCCACTCTTCTGCTGAGCTCTGCTCCCTGTGTCAGACAAAGCAAAGGCCTTGGGTTTGGGGTTTTTGTTTGTGTTTTTTTATAAAGGATTAATAGGAGGTATGTAAGATTCGTGCAATTGCATGTACAAAAGCAGAGTAAGGTGACAGTATGAACTTAAGATGAATAAGCAGATCTCAAAATCACTTCCAGAAAGAAAGACCTATTTTAAAACTGATATAAAACGTATTTTATATCCCAGTATTTCTTGCAGTAATAGCCTGCACAAAGCTTACTGAATGCATGTTTTACTAACCAACCTTAAAACAGCTTTTGAGACATTTATAACTTAAGCTATGTTTTAAAACTCCAACAGCCGAACACCCTGTTGGATTTAGCCATTCTAAAAGTCTGTTTACAACCTGCAGGCCATCAAATGAAAATTATTGGCATATAAAAACTGTTGTCCCAATGTACAGCTTTTTCTAATCTTTTCCAGTGACCACCATCCTTTCCAGAAGATGCATTCAGTCAATATCTAACTTACTTATTTCAATTTTAATAGCTCATTCTATTAGGAACAATTAATTCTACAAACCACCAGTATGGAAACATCAACGAAGAACAGATTTAAAGTAACACATTAAAATATCCAGGGCCAATCACTACACATAAATTGCCCTTACTCAGCATTCTCAAGCTAGTATGAGATATCGTGTGAATTCTATGTTTTAGTTTTGCAAAAGTAATTCCTACTGTCCTAAATACTAGAAACTGCTAAAAATAGTAACTTTTAAGCAACATTTTATTTTTTCATGTACAATTCTGACTACTCCCAACTCTAATCCCTACTGCTACTTACAGTCACCTTAGTCTTGCCAAGTTATTTATGTAAGCAAGATTTTGGAAAAAAGTCTATACAGATGCCTCAAGATACTCCTTTAGCATCCTACTATGTTCTTTACATCTTCAAAATGCTGTGCAAACATAAAGTAACTAACCCTCTCAACACCCTTATGAGGCAACTGAGCAAGTTTTCTCCTTTTATACAGGAGGAAACAGACTAAGATGTTAAGTAATTTGCCCAGAGGCACAAAATGAGTCAAGTGGCAAAGCCTAGTTTGGGTGTTGTGAATTCCTAATGGCTGCCTTCATAGTCTAGTCGATTGGAATATGCGATCATTTTGGCAAAAAAATCCAAAAGTTTCAGCTTTAACCTATTTTAGCTGGGTTTTAACTGTTTGTTATTATTAATATTTGGTAATTATATTTCTAATTTTATAGAGTAAAAGCAGCTGACAGAGAGGAAAGCAGAGGTTACTTTGTAAACTGTTAAAAGTCAGAAATGAGAGCCATCAAAAACCCCCAGAAGTTGAATTTCCAATTAATAGTAAATCAAATTATTAGAAGGGTGGAAGGGTTAGTACATTGTCAGCAGAGACGAGGGCGTTATCCACTCAGTGCTTTGATACCTGTGGGAATAATTAAATCACAACCTTGTCCAGCCAGTCTGCTAGCTGCTGCACTGCTAGGAGATATAACAGATGATTTGGGTGATGCTGAGGAACCTGAAAAGGGGACATTTAACCATGAAAATCCATCATCTTCCCATAGAAATCAATGCACACTTTTACATAGACATGGGGGTTTTTTTCAAAACAAAGAACCATTTGCTTCAGCAACAACAGAAACATCCACAGAAAAGGTGCTGTAATTTCTGATGGAAATGCTTTTTAAGAGGTGCAGCTGTCCATGTGAACTACACCAAGTTTTCATGATTTAATCTTTTTCTCTACATCATGATGACGATTTTTTTTTTTCTGTAAGAGTAATCAAAGCACAACTGACATCTTCATCAGCAAAGTACATACCATAAACAGAAAATTCTGTGTACGATTGTTATATACAGTTTCTACAGCTGAAACATCCCTTTTTTAGGTCCAGGTAGATTTGACTCTGCACTGTCACTGAATGGTACTCAAAGCATTAAGAGGTGAAGTAAGCTCTGAAATCTCAGCCAGCTTCAGATACACTTCAGTGACATCGACTCTTTAGTCAGTGTAAACACGCAGCAATAAGTTATCCTGAAGATCATAGGAGTCATTAGCTGTGGAAGTGTGTAAGCTCATTCCCAAAAGAAAGATTTTACATCACTTGCTTTTTCTCTTAAAAAAACTCAACCAAACAAAACCCAGCTAACTTAAAATGACATGCACTCTGTGTGTTCTCTAAGCTGTTTTAGGATTATGCTTTTCAGAGCTTTGCCACTCTATCATAACAGATAAATTTGAAGTGGTATCCTTATGAAATTTTCAGGATTTAAAAACCAACCAAACAAATTAGCTTTTTCTCTGTAGTGACGAGTGACCTCCATATTGGGGGGGAACTTTTATTGCTTTTGCTGAAAAATTCCAATATACTTCAGGGCTAACAGTGTAATAAAGAGGGGAAAGGAAATCAAACCTGAACATTAGTGGTTTCAACAAAATTTAGTTATCAGGAACACCAAAACACCACTCAAAGTAACTGGATCAACAATTAGCTGTCTTTTAAACATACTACAGAGCACTACTAATATGGGGTTAAGTAAATCTAATGATTTGGATCCAACTGCACAGAAAAATGAGACAAAGACAGCTCACTTGCTGTGTTCTCCTGTAGCAATACATTGCATAAGAGCTGCAATTGGATTCATCCAGGCGTAGAAGTTTGACTGCAAGATCCTGCTAAAGGCCTCAAGACTGAATCATTCCAGCAAGCGAGCCAAGACAAGCAGTTAAAAAATCCTTATCATTTGACAGAGTATTAATGCAGCCTTATGCATGCTTCATCATTCAACATCCCCCAAATCCTAAAAGCCCTTCCCCTCCAGTATTGTCTACTCTGCATTCAAAAATGAAGCCCTAGTAGAGGCACTAAAACAGAATTTTTAGAAATAGGGCAATCATTCAGTTTTTGTCCATACTTTCATAGCAAGTCCTAAGTTTTATCACTTCTCCCTGTCTGATTTTATTAGAACATCAGGAAAAATCTGAAGAAAATATCCTTGGAGGAAAATTGTGACATCTAAAGTGTCCAAAGCTCATAATTTGTATACAAAAATTCTCACAGAACTTTTGCATTTCAAACTTATTAGTGTAGCTTTAAACGCGTCTTATACACTTTTCCCTTATAGGCTAATGCACTTAACAGCTCCAACAGTTATCCTGTTAATACAATATAAAAAGGCAAAAATGGTGAGCAGTTTGCCATCTGCCCAGTTTTTAGCTAGATATTTTGCTAATTTCAAAGATAAAGAAACATAACATTCACTTTGTAATATATGTAATGTACAGCATATAAATCACGGCATATAAATTTTCATAAGCAAAGAATTTTACCAAACAGGAAATGAAGGAAAATGTAAATTAAATCTATGACTACAAAGAGACTTATTTTCACAGCTATGCATTTGAGATAATTTCCAACCTTTCAAATTCAGAAACTGTCAAAGCTACATAATTCATCAAATATCGTTTGCACATACTATATCATGGTATTCTATTGCTTTTTGACAGATAGGAAACACTGACATTATTGGTTTGTTTATCACTTTGTATTTCTCATTGATACTAGCTTAGACTCTCTAAGGCATACATTAATACAACAAAGAAGAATTCCACCTAATAATTTGTTCTAGGTAAGTGAAGAAAAAATAACTCTCCAGTTATGTTTCAAATCAGAATAACACCCTGCAAAATTTAAAGAAAACTTCTACACAATGTAATAGTAAAATTCTTCAGTCTGATACCAGTTCAAGGTGTCAAGGACCTCCCTTGTTGTAAACGCAGACCAATTTAACACTAAGTAGTTTCCTCTAGTCCCTTGACTGATACTGCAAGTGTGGCATATATTCTGTATTTTAACAACCCAGCTACCAGAGATGATAAACTGGTTGTCACTAATGCAAATCTCAATGTGTACATTTACACCAAACTGCTCAAAGCAGCTACAGAATATTGTGTTCCTGACCATGCAAAAATATGCCTAAAGATTTTAAACTGAGAAATACAAAAAAGCATTTACCTTTACTTGGAAATGGTCCTGCCTCAACAACTCCTTCTTTGGCACTGTCAAAGCCACGAGATGTTATTTTGGTTTCAGAAAGTCCAAGTCCAACTGGTAACGAATATTTCAAGTCCTTGAAAATATTTGAATAAAAATCGAAAGTTAATGTTAAAAAAAAAAATTAAAGTGACTCAAAAGTATTAAAATGCAATTTCAGCAGCTCTTAGACAAGCAATTCAGTCTTTAGCCTGGAATGTCCTCGTTGGTGTCACAGCATTCTACTGCTACACAAATAAAACATAAATGAAAGAGAAACACTGTAAGTATAGCCTGAGTATTTATTCTAGAATTTTTTGTTATATTGATGAACAACTAGAATGCCATCTCTTAGAGCAGCAGTTACCAAAAACGTGGCCTGAAACATCATGTTATATGGCCTGAAGCTGGTCCAAGTAAGCATATCAGTTTAATAAAGCTTCCAGTTAAAAACTGGACTGACAGGGGTGCAGAATGATCTAAGACTATCAAGCAGACAACATCTTAAAAACCTAAAATGTGGAAGCAATTATCATAATGTTAAAGATAAAAAAAAAAAATCACTCTAAGCAAGAAATAGCTTTAAAAATCGTACTATCCTTATTTTTTATAAATAGCACATGAAATCTTTATAATATTTGACACGGGAGAAACATCTGGAAAGGCATCCCTTCAACAGCTTCCTTTTGAGCCTACATCACAAGTGCTCACAGCATAAAGCTGCCATTTACTTCTGTTTGCTTTTGAAACTCATTGATTTAAAATTGCTTAAGATCACCTTGTTTAACTTTGGAGAACTAGATTAACCACTACAACCAACTTTCAAGCAACTGAAACCCAAAACAGGCCTATAAATCCATACACCATGAACTATGGATCCATACACCACAGTTCAGATGCCATCCCACTGCCCATTTTTGCTGTCTTGCCCAGCTCTACAAATAGCTCCCGCAAAGGTTTCCTGGACTATATTTCCAGCCTTCTGACTGAGGTTTAAGCCTCTGGTGTTGGAATTATATTTAGTGCTTTAAAATAAGTTCAGGTTTTAAAGCAATTTAAAACCATTAATTCATAAAAGTAAGAAGTGTCTGAAAAACTACTGTGGAAGTGAAAGGAAAACAGTAAAATACAGTTACAAATATAAAACATGAAGAAATTGGAAAACTGTCAGTGTCTGGAGTCAGGTACTTTTTTGCATCCCCTCTGCTTCCATACAGAGGGAATGCACTTTTTTTTCCCAAAAAACGTGGAAAAAGTATAGAGGAGCACTAGTGAAATTTGCACAGAAAAGCTACACATAGCTTTAAGGTGTAGTAACTGTTTATGATATATGCAATGCTTCTAATTACAAAGAAAACACAACCTTTAAAATCCAATTCATGTTTGACCTATTACTGTAGTTGCTTGATCCACAAACCAGAAGCGGGATAGTGCATAGGAATGGTACTGCCTAGAGGATCAGATTGTCAATAAGTGGCTTTGGATCACAGGATCACATCCCCACAGATTTAGTTATGTGTCTTTAGTTTAGGACAAACTCCTGGGAAGAGGAAAAAAAGGAAGAGCTACAAACATATGAATTCCAGCAAGACAGAAATCTTGCTAACATCAAAAACCCAGGATGTTACTGCAAACAGGGTAACCAATTCCTACAGTCATATTTTTACTTACATGAACTGGCTAATAATAAAGTATGCCTTATTTGTGTATCTAAGGCATTATACAAAAACAAAACAAAAAAGCCTCAAGCACTAAACAAAGAAACCATCCAGCATGAACAACAAATAGTAGTCATATGCAGAACCTGATCTCACAAATTAAGCACATTGCAACATTGGATACATACTGTTTTCAGCCTTCACAACTGACTTAACACTGGTGCTTCCATTTAAGTACTTGCAGTTGGTGGTACGATGGAAAGCCTTTGCTTCAACTTAGTTTAGCTAATGCACAGAGTCCATTTAACTCAAAATGTAGCAAGTCACCAGACACTGAAAAATTAGAGAGACTTGAAAAAGGATAACTAGATTGCAGAGAAGATGCACTGATTTAACAAAAAGGACATGGCATGAATTATTTTTTTCCTCAAGGCACCTTGGCGCCTTGTAGTTTTCAGAAATATCTAAACCTGTAGCCAAACAAATGTAGACAGCTAACCTGCTTAAGCATGTTTGCAATAGGAATCTAAGCAATCATCTGTATTTAATGTTAAAATGCAGAACATCTGCTTTGTAAAGATAAAAGTTTAGACATAAACTTAAGCAATTGTACTACTCTGTACATTCAATGTAATTCTAATTTGAAGCTAAACAGAGGCTGGACCAACTGTAGTACTAAATAAATCAGAATATTACAACATCTTTCTCTTCAATAAAAACTTGGTATTTGGATTATGAAAATTATTAAGATCTCCAACTGTGTATATATGTGTATATATATATATATATATACCAGGGTGTTTTACATAAATATATGCATATGTGTATGTACACACACACATATTTGTTCCAAGAGATCTAATTTTTTTCACTGCCAAAAAGGCAAAGTTCAGTCTAAAGAACTGCATTCAAACCTCTTTTTAAACACTTATTAACGAGTTCAAATATATCCTGATGAAGAACGCTGTCCTTGCATAAGAATTTAAAAGAAAGAGCTACCATAGCATACATGACCAGAACTGTCATCAAAGTCAGAGACTATCAAAACAATACCTAAGTTATTGTTCAGTGGATACACAGTGCTGCATGGAAACTTCGATTTTTGACATGTCATTCTTACAACTGATTGTGCTTGCCTTTTTTTATTTTACAGAAGTGTAGATAAACAAAAAAGCTAGCAAAAAACCCTGTAATCATACTGATCCAGCAATTTATCCCTTCAAAAATTTACAAAGAAGGATAACTTAGGGAGGACAGATTCCCCTACTACAGTAAGGTGATTATATTTTGACAACATACAGCTCTTTTAGCTAAGTGTAAGATTTCTCCCTTTCTTTGTAAAAGGTAAGTCCAAGTCTTTAGAATTGATCAAAATTTGTTGATACATTGCAAAACCACAAATCTGTTAACGGATCACTATTACCAAAAACCAAAGAGAAAGACGCTTCTTTTGTAATTTTCAATTCTATGACATTGTTTATGCAATTATCTTCTAGAAAAAGTATTTCAGTATTGTAACTTCACTGAGACACAGAGCTAGAGGTATAAAAAAAAACACAGCTCAGAAGTTTCCCAAGGAGTTAAATGCTGGACTACCTATCCCACTCTCAGCCATTTAGCATGCTTAAGGCTCAAAGAAGCAAAGCATGAAATATAGGGACGCAGAACAGCTGCACTAACTTAATTAGGTCTGCTCAAGACAGTCCAAATCTACATGGTACAGAACATTTAAGCCACTTCAACCATTTGTTAAAATCCCATTTTAATTACTTCAAATCACCATATTAAACTAAACATATTTTAGTTCAGGTTAGCCTTATTTACACAACTCTAACAGGGATATTATCAGTCTGTTATACAGATCATCTAGAGGTACCAGTATGCATTTTTGACATAGCAGTCCTGTTGAGACAGTAGACACAGCAAAGAAGTCACTCAGAATGCATGTTCATGAAGGAATGTTGGCTGAATTACAAGACTATTTTCAAAACAATACTTCCCATCCATGCTATCCATATTAATCTAAAATGAAGAAGGGGAAGACCAGAACTGTGTTTTCCCCAACAGTAGAAACCAACCTAGCCAAAATTGCTTACTTTGAAGAAACTTACTTAACTAAGCAGCAACTAAGAGGTATCACTGCATTAATTTCTTAGTTATGCCAGTCCATTATTAATGCATGACTAAGCATTATCTTCTCCTTAGTACCAGCAGTAGGTTTAACAGATATGGTTTTACTTGCCTTTACTACCTTGTTTTTAAAACCCCACATCACTAGCTCGTTCAATAAATATATGTGGAGCAACTAAACTGGGACCAATCATATGCTTGTTTATTTTTTCAACTCAGGTCACTATAGGCAATTTGATTCAGAATTTTTTTAATTATGGATGACTCCAGTTGCCTTCAGGAAAAATTTGCAACACATCTTATTGTAAAGTTCACAGTTTCAAAGTCCAGTGATACAGAAAGTTGTGTAGATACACATAACATCTATGCAATAAGACAGATGGGCTCTGAACTTTAACCTCTTATCCAAAGTCATGTACAAGTACAGTTCCTTGTACATATTCAACATTTTCTTCTTCTCTTCGCCCTATTACATCACTCAGTTCCTATTTTCCATTAAGCCACTAGATCCTCCAATCAGTCTAAATTCAAGCATAAATAAATGTATTCTCCAATACATTGCTCTTCACTTACAAGACCCCTTCTACCATATCCCTTTTGATTCACCTAACATAACATTGCAATCCAGTTTTAAATTAGTTTCCCTTCTACTCTCATCATTAACATGCATATTTTTGGTTTTTCAGACTGTACGAAGACCACTTGACTTTTTTGTTTTATTTCCTGAAAACAGTTTTCTAGAACTGACACACAGAAATGAATTTTAAATCATCCTACATTAATTGAACTATAATTACCCAAAGTAAAAATCCGACTATGTCAGTGAACCTAGTAAAACCTAAGAGATGAACTCAGATGCTGCAGGCAGAATGTGAGTGACAAGGCTGGCATCTTTTTTTCAGAAGGCAAAAGACAAAAAAGAACTGACCTTATCTATTTGTGCAGTCTGGCAATAAAATTACAGAACAAGATACTGAACACAGGCATCCAGATTCATCAGATTCCAGAGCTTATTTCATAATTCTAATAAGATAAATTGAAGACACAATACAGTTGATTTATCTTTTGCAGCCTGAAGTTTATTACTGGTATTATATACATGTTTAACAATGATTTTGTTCCCATAGGAGTACAGTAAGATCCAAGAAAAAGAGTCTATCCTGAAATTAAAAGGAAACAATTGAAACAACCAATTCAGAGACTCAAACTGATATGAATGTTATACAGATTTTGTACAATAACTTAAATGTCACAAATCGCTCAAAGCTGCTTGAGTATCTTTACAGGTAGACCAAACAGTTTTCTGAAAAATTAAATTTAATCCCATGCAGCTTTCACACTGTATGGCATGTTATTGAATATAGAAATAGAAAATAGAAATAATATACTTCCTCACTCCTTCCTACAGTTCTCAGCTCTCAATCCCCACAGTGACATTAAAACACCACTGTGCTAATCACATAATTATAACAGCATGGTAGGAAAACTAGAAGTCAGGGATAAGTGAAACAAAAACGTGAATTATATAAACCAGCAATACTCAAATATTTGCAAACCGTTCTATACACCAAGTTCTTAAAGCTTAAGTGAGTTCCAACAGAGCTTAGAGAGTTGGAAAGCACTGGGTCAAGCTTTTTCTTAATGAAAGAACATTAGATATTTGATCCAATGATGACTGAAGCTACAGCTTTTTTTAGTTAAAGAGTTTCCATCCATCATACAGGCAGGACAAAACTTGTTGGAATTCCACGGGCATGTTTTATTATAGAATTAGAATATAGCAGCATATTTCCGAATGAGATTTTACAGGTAGGAAAACATTTATTTCAGTTACCTTGTATGTATGCTTTATACCAAGAAAATGCATCAATTTGTGCTAATCACATTCCCACAAGACTGGAACTAACATGCTTCCTTCTGAAATGACATTATGACCATCTATGCTGTCTGATGTTCTGCAAAACTAAAGGAGGAGTTTTTTCTTCAAAGGAAGAGCAACACTGCACTGTCTTGCAAAATTAAATACTTCTCACGCTTGAGAAGTATTGCTGAAAAATAAATGTGCATTTTCAAGCCTGAGTGGCCTGAGGTCAGATGGAAGTGCTAAATAGAACACAAGTCTAGAGGAAAGTGTAGTGTTGTCATTAAAGAAATCTAAGAAAAAGGTTGTACAACTACCTCTTTACTCAGTCTATCAAAAACATACAATCTAAGCTGCTCAACTCTTTATTGCAAAATAGCTCTAGAAGACCAAAAAATACAGAATAAATGGTATTTTATTGTTTACATCTGAATTGTAAAACACCTAGATGAACATGCACCTGATTATAAAAATAAAAAAGCAGGAAGCCAAAATAACCTTGTTCTCCAGCTCCTAAAGAAGGTGCAATCAAAATCAGTATACTGGAATTTGAGTGCTCTAAACTCTACTGTGGTCACATACTCTTACCAAGCACTGTGATAACAATTCAAATTAAAGTAGTCATGGTTTCCTGCCCCTTTCTTAAGCAACCTCATAAAAATCAGTACTTGGCTTGTCATTTCTGTAAGTTGATAGGAAAAATGATCCCTGAAAACTCAGCAGAGAAATTTTGTGGTGCAATGCATATATTGCTTTAAGTTAAAAAAAAAATTATCTGGCAAGGAAAAAAAGAGAAAGCACAGCATTAAGCATTAGAAATAACAAACATGAATCAAGATGAATAGAAGACTAAATACTAGAGTTCAAGACTACCAGATTAGTAAACAGACCTAGATGTTAATTCCAAGAAGTTTGTTTTCTTTGTTTTGTTTATAAGAAGCCCTGTTTATCACATATTCTGAGTTTAGGTCACACATGCGGGTGTTAACTTGTATAAGACAGTTCAAAAAAATAATTGAAGTGCACTTCTTTATTGATCTCAGAATAAGCACTGAGAAATAATTACAGCAACAAGTTCAACTATGTTTGCATAGTGTAAGTTTTCTGCAATTTGACCAAATATTTGACCCACTTTTGTGGAAGTAGAAGTTTCAAAATATAGTTGACTTCAAGCCAGTAAAATCATTAGCATGCCAGCAAAAACCTACTCCAAGTTTTATATATATATATATATATATATATATATGGTCGTAGACAGAAACTACCTTAAAATTTCACCTTTACATTTTGACTGAACAAGAGTGCAGGTTCCACTTGCTGTACATAAGTATTGCACGCACTACACTGAAGAAGCAACCATAATGTAGGGAAAAGGTAACTTCAACAGCAGTCAAGTCACAGCAGCAGCAGCTTAAAAATAGTAAATCTGTTTCTCTACTTCGGGGTGAACCCAAATTCATTACTACTTCAAGATACATTTCCTAATGTTGTCCACTTAGGCATATGTACATCTTTACAGAAATGTAGTTTTAACTTTATTTCATTAGATACTGTCCTAATTTTTACATTATGTTACTGATAGAGCTTAGTTGAATGACAAATCTTAAGAAACATAACCCTTCCCTCACTGCAGTGTTATTCATAAAAAAAATTCCCCATGCATCAAAAGCAGAAAAAATGCCCAGTAACAAGTGCAGTATTTTTAATATGAATGCATTTCCATCTCATGAAGTTTTACACTTTTTTTTACAGCCATGCTCACTATACAGCTACCCTACAATCATAATCAAATGGTCTCAGATCTTGTTTTCACAATATATTGTATTTTTTTTTATTTCTTAAAATACACATTTATACACATTTAAATAGCATATTTATAATTAAAATTATACATGTTTAAAACCATAATTTTAGTAAATATATTTAAATGCCATTTTTCTGTCTTATGAATAAAATTCCTGGATTAAAAATCAGCACCCTCAAGGTTCAGAATCAATAATTAGAAATGCATACACTTGATTGCATATTAGAGAGTACCCAGTACTTTACACCATTTAGCATTCAGGAAAAAAAAATCATTACTAATATATCTTGCACTGCAATGTGCAGTATGTGCTTTGGTTTTTTTTAATCAACTTCAACAATAATTTATCATCTTTGAAGGACTTTTTTACATTAAAGTAAAAATAGAAGACAAAATTAGGCAAATTCTTATTGTACCAATATTTGGCATGTATATGTAATTTGGTTTTGAACTTGTAAAGGTTCTCCCCTCTAATCAGCATTTTAGTAGGACAGAATAAAATGTTGAAGTTCTGCAAAGTATTCATTTTAAAAATAATCCTGCAGTGCAAGTCAGTATGGGACTTTTAAAACTCAGATATTTCCTTAAAATCTAAGACTCAGCAGATATCAAATAAACGTGGACAATTAACTAGTCTTCGTATTTCCAAATGAAAATCAAAGTAAAAAGAAAAGAAACCCAACCCCAAATTCCATAAGCTGTACCATGGCGCTCTCTGCTGGATGTCTGAACACAAGGGAAACTGATCCATACGACTCAAGGTTAGGGGAAGGAATCAAAATTTGCCACAGTTAACATGTCTTTTATACAAAAAAGATTATTACAATGTGTGATGACACTATGCTATGTCAACTTTAACAATGATCTATGAGCTTCAAAGGAGTTTTTCCATTAAACCTGCAGAAAACCTCAAGTGAAGTCTGCTATGCCCTGCATTGTAACTTCAGCATTTCTGATAATGACACTTTGGCAGACAGCAAAGAAAATTCTTACCCTGTTAAAGCTGTGCTCGTGAGAATCTTCCAGCTGTCCATTGCTAGTCACAGGAATTTCTGCTGCTGAATTTTTGGGAGACTCCTGAGCCATTGCACTTTCCTATAGTATAAGAAGAAACAGGTGGTTTGTCTTAAATTTCCAATGAGTAATCCCTATGAAAACAGTTGACTTTATTTCAAACTCCTATTGGAAATATTCTGATATACTCAGTCTGCATACATTTGTTTAATCACATCCCCAAATCACAGTTATACATTAGCACAGCTCAGTCAGAAGTAATTTAAAGATCTAAGAGAAAAAAACCACTAAAATTTAGCCCATTGATATTGGGGGAGTAAGACACAAATGAGACGTGGGGCCAGACAAATGTTTTCCATGCACACTTGAGCCTCAGTTTCTGTGTCTCAAACTATAAAAAAGGTGAGCTTAGCTAAAAAAATTGTACTAGTTATAAACAGCAATAAATACTAGAGAAGTGCAATGAGTTCATGTGTTACAAGAAAAGCTATGATTCCAAACCTTAAAATAGTTTAAGTTGCTTCTTATTTAGCCATAACATAGTGCCACCTTCTGACTAAAGTGTTGGTATGCAACTCTTATGCAGTCAACAGCAGCACACCTGAAGTGAAATTCAGAAGCACCTAAAGAACTCAAAAGCACCAATGGAATTCAAGAATCAAAGTTACTTTCAAATGCAGTTGTATCATGAACAGTAGCAGCAGCTGTGAAACTACAGATTTCAAAAATGACCGAAGGTATAACCTAGAAGAGACATTCCCAGGAGAACCACACATCATTTACAAGCACCTGAAGAGAGAATGGCACCCTAACACTCTCCAAAATGAAGAGAAACTGAAAATTTCATCCCTTTCAAAAAGCTACTCCTACCTCTGCAAGGCAGCTTCATTAGTCATCTGAAGTGTAAACAGTAGAAAAATCAACCCACAACTAAGGCAGTGTTTGTTCAGTTACTTACAAAAAAGTTGTCTGAAGTCTTCAAACCAGCCCATGCACTTTGTGCAAGACTGGCAAGACAAGGTATACCATCAACAGGTACTTGAGAATAGGTACCTTTCTTCCCTTAAAGCTCGTAAATCATCAAACCAAACTAGTTCTTTTCAGTCTAAGGGTCAGGAAGAGAACCAGTCTGAGACAAGGCTGAAGTACCAGCAGCTTCTCCAACCACAAATGAAGCTTTACAGGATAACAATGTAACACAAAGATTTTACTGGTACTTACTGAGGATCGCCTGCATCATTCTAATTTGGCAACGTCTTCCGTCATATCCCATTGCTAATATTTCCTCCATTTTCATGTATCAACACTTCATTTACATTAGTGAGATTGATTTCCTCAGTAAGTTTTGAGGCCTCTCAGCTTTTTTCTAACTATGCACTGTCTGTGGGCTCCAATAAACGTGCTTCTCCAACTCCAGATAGCTTTCAAAGCTTTGCTACTATAGCTTCTTCCAAAAAATGTAAATTACTGAGACTTCACCTCAGCTGGTCTTTTGAAGCAGAGGTCACAACTCGAACTTCCTTTGGTATCTACGACAAAATCTGAACGTGTAATAAGTTTCTTCAGTTGGCAGCATAAAAACGTCCACCAAGTTCTGAATGAACACTGCCTTTTACCCATGCAGAGAAGAGAAAGAACAAAGAGAGTACCTTGGGAAACAGCCCTAAAAACAAAGGGGACCAGGAAGGATGGACGCACTTCAAAAAAGAAATCTTGAAGGTGCAGGAGCAGGCCAGCCCTATGTGCTGAAAGGTGAGTCAGTGGGGAAGATCGGCCTGCCTGAACAGGGAGATTTTACAGGAAATTAGGGGAAAAAAGAGAGTCTATTGCCTTTGGAAAAAAGGGCAGGCAACTCATGTAGTGTTTAAGAGTGTAGTTAGGTCATGTAAAAAGAAAATTTGAGAGGTAAAAGCACAGTTTGAACTTAATCTGGCCACTTCGGTTAAGGACAACAAAAAGTGGTTTTCTAAATACATCAGTAGCAAAAGGAGGGGCAAGAAAAACCTCCATTCTTTGTTGGACACGGAGGGGAACGTAGTTGCAAAGATGAGGATAAGGCTGAGGTACTGAACATGTTCTTTGCCTCAGTTTTCAACAAGACGACAGGTTGTCCTCAGGACAACTGGCTTCCTGGGCTGCTAGACAGCGACCGGGAGCCGAATACCCCCTGTAATCCAGGAGGAAGAAGTTAGTGAACTGTTGAGCCACCTGGACTCTCACAAGTCTATGGGATCAGATGGGATCCATCCTAGGGTGATGAAGAACTGGTGGAAGAGCCAAGCTGCTCTCTATCATTTATCACCTATCCTGGCTCACCAGGGAGGTCCCAGATGACTGGAAGGTGGTTAATGTGACACCCATCCACAAGAAGGGCCAGAAGGAAGACCTGGGAAACTACAGGCCTGTCAGCCTGACCTTGGTGCCTGGCAAGGTTATGGAACAGATCATCCTAAGTGTGATCACACAGCACCTACAGGACAGACAGGAGATCAGACCCAGCCAGCACAGGTTTAGGAAGTGCAGGTCCTGCCTGACCAACCTGATCTCCTTTTATGATCAGGTGACCCACCTGCTGGGTGAAGGAAAGGCTGGGGATGTAGTCTACCTGGACTTCAGCAAAGCCTTCGACACAGTCTCCCACAGCACACTCCTGGAAAAGCTGGCAGTCCAGGTATACTCTGTGCTGAGTTAAGAATTGGCTGGAGGGCCGGGCCCAGAGAGTGGTGGTGAATGGTGCTGCATCCAGTTGGCAGTCGGTCACTAATGGTGTCCCCCAGGGATCAGTGTTGGACCAGTCCTGTTTAAGATCTTTACTGATGATCTGGGTGAGGGGATTGAGTCCACCATCAGCAAATCTGCAGATGACACCAAATTGGGGGAGAGTGTCAATCTGCTGGAGGGTAGGAGGGCTCTGCAGAGGGACCTGGACAGGCTGGATAAATGGTCTGAATCCAGTGGTATGATGTTTAACAAGACCAAGCGCCGGGTCCTGCACTTTGGCCACAACAACCCCAGGCAGCACTACAGGCTGGGCACAGAGCGGCTGGAGAGAGCCAGGCAGAAAGGAACCTGGGGGTTTCAATGAACAGAAAGCTGAACATGAGCCAGCAGTGTGCCCAGGTGGCCAAGAAGGCCAATGGCATCCTGGCCTGTATCAGGAACAGTGTGGCCAGCAGGACCAGGGAAGTGATTCTGCCCCTGTACTCAGCACTGGTGAGGCCGCACCTGGAGTACTGTGTTTGTGCTGGGTCCTTCAGTTTAGGAAGGATATTGAGGGGCTGGAGAGTGTCCAAAGAAGGGCAACGAGGCTGGGACGGGACTCAAACACAAGTCCTATGAGGAGAGGCTTACGGAGCTGGGGTTGTTCAGCCTGGAGAAAAGGAGGCTCAGGGGGGACTCTCTACAACTACCTGAAAGGAGGTTGGAACAGGGTGGGCATTGGTCTCTTCTCCCAGGCAACCAAAAGAAGGACAAGAGGGCACAGTCTTAAACTGTGCCAGGGGAGGTTTAGGTCAGACATTAGAAAGAAATTCTTTACAGAGAGAGCGATCAGATATTGAAATGGGCTACCCAGGGACATGGTAGAGTCTCCAGAAGAGACCGGATGTGGCACTTAGTGCCATGGTCTAGTTGACAGGGTTGTGTTGGGTCATGGGTTGGACTCGATGATCTCAGAGGTCTTTTCCAACCCGGCTGATTCTGTGGTTCTGTGACAAGCCACTCTAAGAACCCTGCATATCAACTACAAGCTGTCTAAGTACACCCAAAAAATACCACCTGAGATGATACATTTCCCCCCTTTGAGGATAAATACTCTCTACAACTAACTTAGCAGAACTGAATTGAATGCTACCCTTTCAAAAATAGTGCTTTATGAAACCTTTCCCTAGAATAAGAAGCTAAACATTTAGGCACAGCTTGTAAAAAAAAAATTCTAAATACAGAGAGAAGAATTTTCAAATCATTTAAGAAAAAGTGTGCTATAAACTCAAGGAAATGGTGACTTCATAACACACTAACTTATCCTATCAATCCCTCTCATTTAAGATCCAGCAAATATCTTCTTTCAGCACTGGCAAGGAATACCTCCTATGCCATATATTCACATTGGCCTAGCATACCATATTCTCCACACAGCCCAGTCTTCACCCACAACTGAAGCACAGAACTTTTTTTTTTAAGTCATTCTTAATACAACTGAATAAACTCAAACCTTGTAGCCTTTAAGTAAATGAAGATACTGAAGCACACCAAAAGGTCTATGCTTACTTTATAAGTACTTCTAAAATACCAATTTGTTTAATTTCATAAAATATAGAATATCTCAAGTTGGAAAGGATCTATAAGGATCATCAAGTCCAACTCCCTGCTCTTCACAGGGAATTGCTACCCAACACCATCAGATCAAATGTTCCAGTTATGTATCATATTAGATTTTGATTTAGGAAATCTGCCCAATAGATCAAGCTTCTTAAGCTTGCTCTAAATCTCACATCTGCTTAAGCTCTAAGACTGCTAGGAACTACACTTCTACTTGACATGGTCAAGTGTAGTATTGTTCAAAATGCTTGGCCTGTCACAGCTACCTGCACAATATGGAAACATTGGCATAGGCTAACACAGATACTTTTGGTCTTCTTTCTGCAAATTATCAGAGAACACAGTGCAAAGAGGAACTCCTGTACTGTCAGAGAATACGTTTTGTTTGGGAGGGATCACAAACAAAACCACACCTCTAAATTTAACTAAAGGCAAAACAAATACTTGGCTTCCGTGCTTTTCATCAAGAGTCTCAAATCACCTTGCAAATATTGACATTGATACATTTTCATACATTTATTCAAAGATATACACACTCAGGCATATGCACATCTCTAGCAAATATATATATTAAAAAATTAAATTCATCAGCTTCTCTGGACAACTTTTGAAATCTGCTAAACCTAGAAGCAATTCACCTATTTTTTTAGGCATTCCTACTTGAGTCAAACTATGTATGTAGTTCAGAAAAAGCAAAAAATTACTTGCTAACTTCAGTTTCATGCTATGTTTGAACTGTAACATAATTTTCCTTTGCTGAAAGGAGGACATTTCACCACTTTACTTTTCCAGTCCCTACTGTGAGCCACACAGTGTCCCACCTTTGAACCACTCACCTGACTGCAGTCACCACACACAACTCACTAACCTGGCAACGGACCTTTTCACCAGGTTAATTTCCAGTGTCAGTGAGTTGAATCAGTTTGCAGTGAGGTAAGACAAGTACCAAAGACGTGAAACGAGCAGCTGAAAAGGGGAAGTGGGATAAGCTGCTAATTTGACTCAGACATAACAAGAAACCACTGCCTGCATTTTAGTCAACAGTTTAAGCTAACACTGTTGTCAAAAAAAAGTCCTTGCCCTTTTCCCCAATTCTTCCTCCTGTCAGCTTTCACCATTCCTTCACCTCTTCCCTGAGCCAGAGCAATGTATTTGTACAGCAAACAAGATTCCAGAAACACTGCAGGTTAAAAGAAGGTGACCTGTGCTCAAAAAGAGGATGGATAATTTTTCCACTCACATCAGTTCCCCAAAACAGTTCATCACACGGGTCCTACACTTGCACCTATGAAACTGAGGGGGTAATAATGCAATAAGAATATACTGAGAATGAAGGACTGCTCTTGGCCACAGCATCAGCTTACTTTAGCAGTGCAATACCTCAAAATACTTACTCAGCTGTAGGCTACCAAAAACAAGCAGTCATTTCTCTTTACCTCTGCATGTGTGTTCCTGTAACCTCACACAATAATGGTGAGCTTATTGATCTGAGAGAAAACTAAAGCATCAAACCATAACAGTACTTCTGTTGAAACAGTGAGTATGATTGCTGAATCAAGTGCCCCTTTGGCAAGTGTAACCCACAGCTGGCTTAAACTAAGCATACAAAGAAACTGAATCCTCAGAAGAAAAATTATCATATGTAGAAACAGACTAAAGTAAATCTTAATAAGTTCCTAAATTTGTATTGATGTATTAAGCATGAATGACACAAGCATTACAGAAAAACATGACGCTTCAGATGTTCTTTTTATTTAGAAAAAAATAGAATCATCCTTCAGTAACAATCAGTATTTTCTTTGCACATATCTGTTTAAAAATATCAGATTTGGAGATATGCTAAATAGCTGTGGAATCACTACACTATTTTTCTAAAAGTTTAAAAACAATTAACAAGCATTGAAACTCTAATAGTGATAAAATCAGCATTAATCTTTCCATTTTTACTCTAGAACAGTCACAAAAATGTTTATTTTTCTGAAACAGCCTCCCAAACACATTCTGATCAGCTAAATAATATTAGGAACCTTAGGAATTTGTTCATAATTTCAAAATGTCACAGACTTCTCCATAAAGAAAGAAGAAACTGTCTCTGCTCCCAAGAAAAAAAAAGATTCACTACTTCAGCATTAGATAGAATACCTTGTTGTAGTGAGATTACACAAAGATTGTTGCCTTTCAAATACCAAGCCTTTTCCCTGCAGTACTTACACGTCAGAATCCATGCCTAAATCTAGATGCTGTGCGTGAGCTCATAGCCCCATACTAACACCACTGTGCTATGTAGAATTTTTGGTAGTCTGAAACTGTTGTTAGGATTGGTTGATTTTACACTAATATAACTATCACCCAATCACCTCAGAGCCAGACTGGACCTCTTCTGCAGCAGGGTGAGACTCATCAAGTGCTGTGGATTCGCTGCTGTGTTCTGACATACCTGAAAACCAAATAGGTTTGGCATGCATTAATTGACGTGAAAGGAGTTGGGTGCCACACCTCACAGAAACTGAGGCAGGCTTTCAGAAAACACTTCTTTTACAAGTTCTGCTAAAGCAAAGTGAAACCTCCTCCCTTTGATGCCCTCAGCTCTCCACAAATCTAACAGAGACTAGGAATACAATCTACTATAAGTTTCCACTGCCAAAGCAACCTTCCCCCACAGACGACTAAGCTTGCAACATAAAACCTAGGAAGTCAAACAAGGTTCTTCAGCTGATGTATAGTGTCACCTGCAACAATACACCGACTACCATTGCAAAGATCACTACTTTGTTTACATGAAACTTATCCAAATATTGCAAGTTTATATTGATGTTAAGCCTCTGAAACCTACTAAGCTGCTCAGTCTGTTAAGCCTACTAGAAAGAGAATCCCTTTCATTTTAGTCTCAAAAAGATCTCAGCTACAGAGGCAAAGAGAGGCAATGACACTGAGCACATGCACAAGAAATCAGCTCTTTGAGTGTAGTGATCATGGAAGATTAATTACATACCTAATATAGCTTAAATAAGAAAAGTATCTAAATTCAATTTCAAATAGCTGGTACCTACAATTCATCTAGCTGTTTGAGAGGAGCAGACAACCAATCATTAAAAATTAAACAGTCTGTCAGTATTGAGTATAATCACACATGACTTCAGTTCATTATGTATTGCACCATTTTATACATGTTCAGACAAATACTAGATTAAGAAAAATTATAAAGAGATCACTATTTGTATTTATATTGTATTTCAAATGCCTAAGCTATAAAAAATTCTAATTAAAGCAAATAATTAATAAGGTAAGCAGCTCACATGACCAAAGCCTGAGAAACTGAATCACCTAAATCATCCAGATCATATTACATTGAGTAACCTTTACTTTGAAAAGTCAAACATAAAATAAGACACTTTCTCCAGAAAAACAATTCATTCAGAGATATCACTGAAGTTGGATTTTTCTACTATCAATACAAAATTCCTTTCGAAGTATAACATCTTCACATATCTTTCTTAATTTTTCAAATTTCTTTTGAATATGAAAGACCATATGGCAGAGGTGCTGTTTTCCCACAGTCCTGTCCAAACTATGCTTGTGGTTGAAAACCACCTCTGTGCTTAACAGCTTACTTCTGAGTAGCTAAAAAAAGTCCATTGTGGATTAGAAGAATACGTGACATTTCTGCACTCTGCTGGTTAAACAAGAAGCTAAATTCATCTTGTAGTGCAGTCTTTGTTAAGGCAATCTGTTCCTCAGTTTTACCACATTTGTGTTCCAGTAACGCTGTTTAAAACTATTAAGTGCTATAAGCAGTAAAAATAATTTTGACAGACTTAAGAACTTTTAATAACCTAATCTAGGAGCATGAACCATCTCACAAACCCATGGAGAAGACACTGCATAAAGACAATTCATTTTTTAAAATCCAAATTAATTCACTATTTGTGTTAATTCACCAATTTTGTTGTACAATATTCTTTTCCTGTAAGTAGTGCCAACACTTGCCAGCTCTATGATCCAGCTCTGTACGACCACATTGACCACCTTTAAAACATGAGAAGAGGAAAAAATGTAGATTAAAGGTGGCTTTCATAAAAAGTTCAATTGCACATTCTAATTTAACTACAGAATTTCCTGATGACTGCTTGCACAGCAAAAAAAATAGGGACATAAACACTGAATGCTGTATGCAAGGATGAAAACTTTCTACATCTTCACCAAGATTCAGAAGTGAAGACATTTATGTGAAATTGTGGCAATGATGGCATCTACATACATTTATCATTTATATTTAAGGTTCCATTACAGAAATGCCTACAGACTTTTGCATCTCCATAGTTCTTGCAGGTGCCAAAGTGCTGTTCTTTATCAGAGGTTCCTGATCCTCAGTACAGTATGAATTCTGCATTATCTAGTTGTTGGGGCTTTTTTCCCACTAAAGCAGCCCCAACTTTGGAACATGTTAGGTGACTGACCGGTGCACTAGAACATTTACTACTATCAGTTGCAATTACAACAACTCAGAGATGTTCTACTTGGGAAAAATATGCTTCATCCATATCCTGACATGAATTTAAGCCTGAAACCCTGTCTGTATCACTCCTGCCCTTCTGGATCTTCATTTTTCCCCCACTAGACCAGTTCTGCAAATCCACACAAATACTGCACCAGAGTAGAAGAGAGGACATAGACTAAAATCAAGCCCCCCATGGCGAAGCTACCTTAATGCATATTAGATTACAGCTTCGGCCATTTTAAGTTTTGCTCACCGTAAATAAAACCACACAATTTCTAACTCCTGGGGATTTATATATCACTTCTTCATCTGGCAAAGTAAAAAGCATAGCAAAGCAAAAACTTATAAACAACATAGTAAGCTTACTCTAGGATGAAGACTTCAGAGACATTTAACCAATTATAATTAGTGGTTAGAAGAGCACACTTATGAACCTTTAATAAAAAAGGCAAATTCATATTTGCTTATTCATGCAAATATGAATTAAATGTCATCAAGAATAAATTAGTTTGGAATAAGGAGTTTATTCTTCACATAGTTACATCACTTAGGTAAATAACTTCTGGTTTCAGAAATGAGAACCATGGGATTTTCAAGAACCAAATCTCCTTTTCTAAGCAGGATGCACTGGCTCCTTTGCTTGTTTTTTTAATTAACTGCCAATAAGGCAAAAGCAAGATAGCTTCTGTCCAAATTAAGTTACTACACACTTTTATTGTTGTCTTATTACTCCAATGCATAGATAAGCAATACAAGTTTTTGTAACACTGGAGAAAATCCACGTGCTAGTGAAAAAATAATGATTTTACACATATTTTCTTAATTTTGATTTCTAACTAAGAATACTTTCACTAATTCTTGTCAAGATAAAGATCAACTGCTTTTTTAAAAAGACTGTAAAGAACTGCATTAAACAGTTTCTGCTGCAATCTCACCATAGTTTCCTCTTAATGCTCTTGAATTCCCTGGCTGCTCCACTTACAAGATCTAATTATGACTGAGAGTTAGAAGACATGATGGAGATAAAGACCGGACAATAAGGCTGCTACTAACTTCCATAACCTCACAATGAGTCAACCTGCCCCTGAACACTTTAATGCTCTGCTCGTCTCCAGATTAGGTAAGCCACGGGCTCCCATTATGATTTCAACTTCTACCAAAACAGAAAGAAACAGTGAATCAAGATACTGCCTCAGCTTCCTAATGTTTCCAATCTGTTCTTCTGTGTTACTTAATCTTTATACTTTAACTGTGTGTGTGTGTACACACATATACACATAAACATATATATGATTCAGACATTTTTGGAGCTGCACTGATCAAGTAACGTCCTTTTCCAGCCCTGCAAAAGAACCCTTCTGTTATCTTTTCTAGAGAGTCAACACTTACAGCCACTGACTGCAAAGTGATAACTCCTTGCTACTGGTGCCACTAAGCATAAAAAAAGCACACATTAGACACTGAAACTACATTCTGAACTGGATGTTCAGGATGATCCCCCTTAGAGCCCTTCATACGAGATGAAAGGCTATGAGGTGGTGCCAGTTAAAAATGACATATTAGAGATTTACTATAAGAAACACTGGAAGAACTGCGTCTAGTTTGTAAACAAACACCACACACAACACCTGCTTGTCACACAACACCACAGCGTTCCCAAGCTTGAAGAGCAGCAAGCAAAAGACAAATTGGCACACTTAAAACAGTAATTGCCAGGGTGTGGAGTAAGTCTCGGGGGCACGAAATTCACACAGCTTCCCTCTCTCTCTCGCGAACCAAGCTCAGGCTCTGCCCTCCCTGTCCGGGCGCCCAGTGCCCCCCGGAGCGGGGCCGTACGAGTTGAGCAGACCCCCGCCTGCCCTCCCCTCCCGGGGAGCCCCGCGGGATGACACGTCGGACGGGCCGGAGCGGGAGGCGCGGCCCGGCCCGGCCCTCCCCGAACGCGGGGCCCAGCGGCTGCCCCGGCCCGGCCCTCACCTGCGGCGGCGCCGCGGCGGCCCCGGGGGCGTCGTGCTGCGGGGGACGGCAGGGCGGGACGGAGACAGGGAGAGGGGGCGAGAAGCAGCCGGGCAGGGCGGCGCCGGCGGCCCCTCTCCGGCTTTATTTTCTTCCTTCTCCGGTGGCAGCAGGAGCCGGAAGCGCCGTGCCGGAAAGGGGAGGAGGGCGGCGGCCGCTCTGGGCTGCCGTGTCTATGGTCGCGGCCATGGCAACCGGGGGCAGCGCAGCCGGGGAGGCGGCTCCAGGCTCGCCAAGTGCCGTGCCCCTGGGATCGGAGCGCCGGCTGGGAAAGCCAGCCGGGAAAGCCGGCCGGCAGTGCGGGAGGGCGCGTGCCCGCGTGTGGATGTGGATGAGCGGACCTCGGTGCCATGGCAGAGGCGCTGCCCGAACACACAGTGAGGAGGAAAAAAAGCATATCTATCGAGGAGAAAATCGACATCATAAGCGCCGTAGAGAGTGGCAAGAAAAAGGCGGACATTGCAGCCAAGTATGGCATAAAGAAGAACTCCCTGTCTTCGATTATGAAGAATAAGGACAAAGTTTTGGAAGCCTTTGAAACTTTGCGGTTTGATCCCAAAAGGAAAAGGCTGAGGACCGCTTTTTATGCCGACCTGGAGGAGGCACTGATGAAGTGGTACAGGATCGCGCAGTGCTTGAAGGTGCCGGTGAACGGTCCCATGCTGCGCCTCAAGGCGAATGATTTTGCCCAGAAGCTCGGACACAATGATTTTAGGTGCAGCAATGGCTGGCTCGATCGTTTCAAGTCGAGATATGGTTTAGTTTTCAGAGCTCAGCCTGTAGAAGCAGCTGCAACTACTACAGCAGATGCTCCAACCCTTTGGTACCAGAATGTGCTTCCTTATTATTTAAATGATTATCAGCCAAAAAATGTGTTTCATATACAGGAGACTGGATTGTTGTATCAGATGTTACCACATAATACATTTGCATTTAAAGGGGAAACTTGTTCTGTAGGTAAACTAAGCAAAGAGAGAATAACTGTAGTGGTGGGTACAAATATGGATGGCTCCGAGAAACTTCCACTGCTTGTTATAGGAAAAAACAAAAGTCCACAGTCTTTCAAAGATGTGAAATCGCTTCCTGTGGATTATGAAGCAAATGACAGGGCATGGATGACTCCAGAAGTGTTTGAACAGTGGATGCATAAACTCGATGGCAGATTTCAAGCACAGCAGCGCCGAGTTGTTATTCTTGCTGATTCTGTCCCAGCTCACACAGAGGTAAAGAACCTGAAGTCTGTCAAGTTAGTGTTCTTTCCTTCAGACTCCTCTTCATGTATAGCTGTGAAACAAGGGGTTATCAGAAGTCTGAAGGTTAAGTACAGGCACTGTCTTATCAAGAGATTTGTTGATTGTGTAGAAGGTAATAAAGAGTTTATGCTGACCCTTCTTGATGCAATTGAGATGTTGTACCTGTGCTGGAGGGAAGTAACACCACAGACTATTGTAAAAAGTTATAATGGAGCAGAATTCAAATTAGAAACTGAGACAAATGGTAACAACAAAGAGATTGAAAGTGATCTTGATTTGATTGCTCACGCACAAGCAGCTGGAGTGGAGTTTCCAGAAGGCTTATCTTTGGAGGAATATGCAGCTCTAGATGATGACTTGGTAACTTATGAAGTGCACATCAATAATGGAATGATGTGTGCCAAAGAAAGTGTGTCAGATAAAGCTGGGACATTTTTCGGTGATGAAGATGAGGATGAGAATGAAGGTGATCAATTTCACGGAGCTGAACAGGTTTTGCCATCAAAAAATGAGGCTTTGAGTGCTTTAGATACCCTTCGGAAGTTTCTCAGAAGTCAAGACACGGATGATTATCTTTATGATTCCCTAGTTGACTTGGAGAATTTTATTCAACATGTAACAAGTAAATAAATATTTTAGCAAAGTGGGAAAGCATGTAATTAGAAAAAAAATGAGATTATGTAAGTAAACAAAGGCAGTTTAATAACAAGGATTGCTGAAATGTTCTCTGGTGTGTTTTGCTCAGGTGACTAGATATACATAACAAAAGAAATTTGAAATTATGAAAAAGGGCTGAAACTGAAATTTTACACAAAATTAGGAACAAATGACACAAATTTGGAGTGAGCTGAATCCTGAAACTTATAACTGTAGTAAGTATAGTGGAGGAAAAAGAAGTTTGGTGCACTCAGGATAAACTCATGACCATGGAATTCTTTCTTCAGGAAGAGATTAGCACTTCTACGCATTAATAATTCCACTGGTGTCTTTGGTTTTTTGATGGTGCAGTAGTAAATATTTATCAGCTCAGTGCTTTCGATACATAAACAAGAAATTGGATAACATGGAAAATACATGCCTAAATTCTGAGAAATAAGGGTTTTTTAAAATAAACATTTTTGTCCTTAGTCAGGAATTCATTTATTCTTGCAGCAAGTGATGAACAGTGGAAAGTTACCACAGCTTTGGATGTGTTGTTTTGTTTTGTTTTTTCTTAAAACTGCTCACATGTGGATACACACGAATGGCATAATGATTTATCCAAGAGTCAAAAGACAAACAAAGCTTTACTTGGGCTGTGAAGAGGTCAAAAAGGAAGGTCATTCTCTCCCTTTTCGGTACATGGATTTGATGTAGGTCTTCCTCTGCAACTCCATGTATTTCTACAGTAAATACAGAAAAAAGAATCAGTTTTTGCAACATCTGCACTAAAACCCTCACTGAAATCTTGTTTTATTTACAATACTTGAAGACTTTGCTGTAGGATTCAATGCACTAATGTGATTTGTCATTTTAAGTCCCATTAACAAGAGTGCTGTTTGCACAAGTGCAGTATGAAATTGAGTAAATTATTGTACATTTACATGTCTTCGAGTATGTGTTTCAAGCAATGTAATCATAGCAGAGCCAAAAACCAGAGTCTATATGAAATGCACTGCTTGTGGCTTTTTTCAAAACCTATTTTAAATCTTTTCTGTATCTATCAGTTAAAATTTTTTTTAGAAATTAGATATCATTGTTCTAATTTAGAGGAAGAATAAAATATTTTATGGAAGCCCTTTAGGAAGCCTGTATAATAAAGATCATATGATGGTGCCTATATTTAAACCATGGAAAAAAATTCTCATGCTTATTTGATTCTTCACTTTTCAATAAATAGTTTGGCTAAAGCTTTGTTTACCCTTTTTTCTGGTGTAGGACATTTTATCAGTTTGTGAAAGCATTTGAGAAAATTGTTTGAAGACAGTGAAAATACCAGGGTGGTATATGGCTAAACTGTATGAATGTTTTACTAGAACCTCTACCAAAAAACTGTATGAATGTTTTACTAGAACCTCTACCAAAAAACCCACGCAAACTTCTGGGGTTTTTTTCGTGAAATATCTGATGTGATTTCCTTCCAAAGGATATTCTGATTAAATAGAAAATTTCCGTTGAAATCCCAGTAAGTAAAGTCCTACATGGAGATTTATAGATTCCATGAAAGATCCCTCTGAATTAACTCTCTTAACTATTTATTATTTTATTCTCTTCAAATACAAATGCAAAATCTTTTAAATTAGGAAGCTGTGTGACATTTTGCTTGCTTAAATACTTCAGAACAACTTGTGAAATGTACTTTCTATTTTGTCTAAGCTTATTTGAGACCTGTAGATAATTTTCCTATAGTAATCCTTTGATTTAAAATATGTTTCTTTGCAACAGCTTCTCCAGCTAAAAGCAAGTTTAGGAAAAAGTTTCTATTATCCATGTAGTAAATATGTATATTTATTACAATGTGACTCCCTGTGGCCCTTATTGGCCCAAGTTCCAGATAAAGAGACTCTCTGTTTCCTTCTGAGAGAGTGAAGAGTGTGAAAATGTTGGATCTGAATGAGAAAGACTTGTGTATATAAGCAACAAATCTTGGTTAACCAAGGGTTCAACCTACAGGAAGTGTAATCTTCACAAGAAGCAGCTTAGGAAATCAGGAGATGGGAAATAACGTTGTTAGCTGGTAATGAAGGAAGTAAATTACTGAGTGCTGTCATACTCATGACATGTAAACAACGGGAAGGATTTACTATTTGACCTGGACTTTGAAGGTGAGTTGTGGAACTTGCTTTAAAAAACATACAACCCATCAAAATCCTGTATCTTTAGAGAATATATGACTTTTTCCTAGACTCCTAGTTCATTTGAGAAACTAAGTTAAAATGCACTCACTGAAACTGATTTTGTAGGTCACATACTTTATATAGCTTTCAAAATTATTTAGGAGCCCAAATATTTCTCTTCACTTGGATTTTGGTCACATTGATAGTCAGAGAACGTGAAAACCATTCTGAAGCTTGGTGCTGTTTTGGGTGTCTGTCACAGGGAAACGCAGACTCACAGATCTGAAATGCTAACGGCAAAAAAGGAAGTGGTGTGCTATGTAAATGTGAATCAGTTTAGCCTGTGTACACAGTTTGAGCTAGAGATTTCTTTGCATTGTCTAGGTAAACCACCAGGACACTGGTTTTTTGTATCTGTAGTCGTTTCGTCTGGAGGGAGAGGAAGAATATTGCTCTAGACTACACCATATTTAAAAAGAAGAACCTTTTCTACAAAAGGCAGGTTACTAAGGCTGTCATTTGCTATAATAATTCAGATATTAGTGTGGACAACTGCATGCTTTTTTCTGTAGCTTTTTTGCTTCATGCCATGGTTAGACTGTGATTATACTCTTCAGCGTCAAGTCGGTGAGGTTGCTTTCAGTAACCCAAAGTGAATTCTAGAAGTATGAACTGAACATAGGAAGTTTTAAAAACATAACTGACTTCTAGACAAGGCCAAAATAGAAAAAATATTTGGAAGGTATATTTGATATAATCAAAAGCATCCTCAGATTCATTCTTGAGACAAATAATATGTAAAATTAAGTATATTCTTCAAAAATACATCTTTATTTGCAAATTTTAATAAATATTACACTGTGATTTTTTTTGTGTGTTTGCTGTTCTGAATACCTTTCAGATCTATAAAACTACATCTTCTTTTAAAACTGTTACTGAAAGGAAGGTTGCCCACCTCTAATGGTAAAAGGAAATTATTTAACAAGTTTTTACACTTCACCAGACA